AGGAATGATTGACTCATGGTCCTGACAAAGTGTTGTTATTTTTCGGGTCAATCAGAAATACAATTTGGCTGCCATGGCCGCTATTTTGCTACTAAGTTCTAATAGGCCGATCTCACTTAAAATTGGTCTAGGAATGATCAGCTCATGGTCCTGACAAAGTTAAGTTAACATTATACTATTGTTTACTCAAATTGGTACATATTTCAACAACAAAAATAAATATTGAAGGACTCAGGTGACCGTTAAGGCCCATGGGCCTCTTGTTGATCTACAATTTATAATCTGCATTAACTCGATAACCAAATGTGTTCAGGAGAGTGGAACTTTGGAGAACTTTTATTTCTGACTGAGTAATGCCTGGTTAAGTATCTTCATTTATATTCCTTTTCTTAAATAAGATCTGTAAAATTCCTTATTTGAAAAAAAAAATCATCTAGATGGCAGACAAAAAAAATTTGGAAAACGCTTTGTTTACCATAGACTGAGATTTTTTTCAGTGAATTATATTTTCCCAAAATCAATGCAAAATCCCTTTCTTTTCCAAAAATCATGCTTTTTGTGTTTGGTATTTCCCAAAAGTAACAAGACACAGGCCCCTGTCTAAAAGAGGTTTGGTTTGGTTTGGTTTGTTTGTGTTTTACGTCCTATTAACAACTATGGTTAAGGACATACCATGTTTTGATGGTGGAGGAAAGCCAGAGTTCCCAGAGAAAAACCACTGACCAACGGCCAGTACCTGGCGACTGCCACACGTACGTCTCAAACCCGTGACTGAGTGGTGAAGGGACAGTGGTAGCAGAAGGTCAGATGCCTTAACCACTCAGCCACCGCAGCCCCCTCTAAAAGAGGTAGAAAAATCATTGAAGATAAATAGAACAGATTTTGTAGTACTACTTCTGTAGGAAAGAGATAGATTTGGTATTGGAATTATCACTACTTTTGTGTCTTTGAAGCTATTTGAGGCAGACAGCCGGGAGCTGGAGATCACTCAGGTTGAGCAGTCATCAGAGGAGGGACCGAGGAGTAAGAAACGACGTTTAGAATCAGGGTGGTATGCCATTCGGGATAACCTCACCTCGCTAGGTCAGAGCCAGCAACTGGTGCCTTGGTGAGTACTGTGCTCAGTTTGTGTTTATTAACAAATTAATAATGACCTGTACCTTTTCTATAGGAGTAGATGTGGTTTGGGTTATTTTAGGCTTCAGAATTCATCGAATTTCAAAGCCTTTAACTGAATTTTATGGACTGAAACTTCTATAGACATCAGGGAGAGAAATTCTGAGGAAAAAATTATGTTTATGACATTGATGAACATGTTTCAAAAATGGCAGAACTACATATGGGCATGTAATTTTCACTAAAACAGACATCCAATGACATTTGAACAGAACTGAAATTAAATAGTTAAAAGTTTTAGATTGAGACTGGTTCAACAGATCTCAACATGAATGTTTATGATAGCAAACAATTTTACGTTGTATCGCTAAAGATGGAATTTCTTTCAGAATAGGGAACACAAATCTGCTGTACAATATTTTTCTAGTTACAAATGGAGTATGTTTTAAAATTCATTTGGAAAATAATTTTCTGTAATGACGTATTTTTGACAGGCTACAGTTGACAAAGCGTGTGGTTGAGAAGTACCCAAACAGCTTCCCTGAGGACGAGTTTCCACTATATCTGCAATGTCTTTCACAGTTACTTACCCAATGTAAAAGGTGTGTTGTCATCCTAGCACAACGAACTGTATTTGAAATATTCATGCTAATTTTAGATTAGCATACCAAGACAAAACATCCATGCAAATCGTTTGACATGAACAATCTTCAATAATATCATGGCTCCATTAAATCTAATCTGAAAGATACCAATTTAGTGTACAAAAGATGGTCTTGGCAGTCAACCGTAATGTATTGTAAAGTGGCCAGGCATTATTTTACCTTATAACTGCTCAGTAGTTAGATCAGCAGTAATTGCACTTTTCACACATTTTACACATCATTGAGATATATTTGTATAACAAATGTCGAAAATGTTATCACTGTTGCAAGTATTCTTAATAAATAATCTGGATATTTTTATCACAAGTACAGATAAAACTGTATATTTCTGAATCACGTTATGTATTGTACAACTTATTTAAAACTTTGCTAATGTTTCACAGAAATGATCTGATGTGTCACATCCTAGACTGTCTTCTGTGCCTCGTGCAGTACCGGACAGTGGTCACTCTCCCTCAGGCCATCCAAGACACCAGCTTGACCATCTGGAAAAAAGTTTGGGCCTCTACACTCAGGTAAATGAAATTCACATTTAATCAAAAAGATTATAAGCTATTTAAGTACACAATTTTCCCTCTGGTCTTCTGAGGTGATCAAACTGTTCATGTTTGTAGAGATTCAAAATGCTCTGAGATATTCCTTGGGTACTGACAATATCATTTTGTTTCAAACAATTATGGCTTGAGAAATATTACCTGAATTGAAAAGAAACGTTGTTGAATTGTTTGCAGAGCCTTGAGTCTACAGAACGCTGTAGAACCAAGTTACAGACTGCTGACAGAGATGCTAAGACGTGAACTGGTGCCATGTGAGAGGGACGTGTGGAATCTGTTCCTGCCCTCAATATCACACCCGATCGACGGTTCCGTGAAGTTTCTCATAACCTATATGATGACAAAGAGTCTCCCAGAACACTATCAACCCAGTCTCCTCAGTTCCATGGTGACAGATGGCCAGCAGGCATTTCCTCTGCGTTCACAACTTTTGGACTGGCTCCTGCCTCCGCGTCTTGTCATGGATGGAACCATGGCAACCAAACCTAAATCTGACCTTGACCCTGGTTTAGTAGGGCAAGCATTAGCATTACTTGTTCTGAAAAATCCATCATGTCTGATGATTATACCAGAAAAAAAGGAAAGTTTTATTACCGATCTTGAAAGAGTTTATCTTGAATCTTCACATGACTTTCCACTGTATGCCAGAAAGATGATGGCTAAAAACTTGTGTCTCCAAAACAAGGACAATGTTTTACTGACAGTTCTCCTGAGAAGAATCGAGGATAACCTGAAAGAAAATGCCAACTGTTTGCTGGAGTTCTCAGAGCCACAAGCTGCAGACTTACAAGATCTTGCAAGGGAAGCATGCAGAATTGTCAGATTTATATATTGGTTGCTTAAATATGAACTTGTTTCAAAAGACAATTTGGCATCAATGGATGTTTTAAGTGTGTTAAAATCAATTTTGAGAAAAGTCGGATCATTTATGAATGATATACAGCAGAACCAAGGAGCAGTTGAGCTACTGGGTGTGTTGCCATGGCTACAGGAAATGCTGGAATGGGAGGAGTCAGACAGTTCAGGGGTCGTAGCTGCCAGACTGGTTCGCTCTCTAATCCCAGCCAAGGCTGTAGAGATTCTCCTCGGCATAGCACTAGTAACAGTAAGTACATGTAGCTTTTGCTACTGCACAAAAAAGTGAGGTACACATCCAAATTAACGTAACATGTCCTTGAGCCTTTTTCATTCTCAAACAAAAGAATCTAATTTCTTAAAATGAATACACCAAAGTCTTGAAAATGTCATTTATTAGATTGATAACAAAATAAGTAGTTTTCCATACAGTGTTACTTCAATTTTTATCTCATTTTCTGAAAATATTCATACCAGGGTATGTAAAAGAATTTGTCTGAATCAATCTGTATGTAGGAGGTTGCTTTATGTATGCTATAAGTAGTTCCACAATTATATCATAATTTCGATTTACAGGTATTTATTGATAAAACATAACTGTGCATATCCAATTATATTTCCTTTAGAGTTCTAAGAGAAATAAGCCTGATGCTAATACAAGTGGACAACAGGGCCAGACACGACCTGGAGCCTCGCGGAGGGGGAGGATCCTAGAGGACTTTGATGACATGGACCTTGAGTTTGATGACACGCCTGCCAAGGACACCACTGATGACCTTGGATTTGATGATGGCTTTGGAGACTCGCAGGATTTGGATGAGGCTGTCAAGCAGGGGGATGGTAAGTGAACCATTTAACAGTAAATTTCACTTAATATCACATCATTTTAACCCTTTCACCCCTATGTAAATTTAGTAGACTCTACCATGTATTGATATGGATGAGTCCATTATGGTCTTCAGGGGTGAAAAGGTTAAGACTCATTGCATAATAACCCTGGGTCATTTATCACACCTGTCTCTCTGCTTATAAGTTGTAATGGATCTGTCAATTGCTAGGGAAGGTTCATCTTTATCATAGTGGCTAAGTGACTTGCATGCCACAAAGTTACCCATCCTCTTGCATCCATTTCTTGACCTGTGGGGGTTATAAGAATCTTCAGAGTTTCGTAATTTTACTCTAATCACCCACTTCGGTGCTATTATTAGCATCTCCATAGCTGCCTTTTGATGTGGATAAACTCTCTGCAACAGTGAGTTTGTTTGCACAATGATGAATTTAATTCTATCTTTCAGTGTCAAACAATATCATAGACGATCATCACTGCTAAAGAAAAGTTTACTTTTGTAGTGGAACTGGACTGGGTCGATCGTCAGCGACCAGGAAGCTCAATTGGTAGAGTGTCCGTCTAGAGTTTGGAGGGTCCCGGGTTCGAACCCCAGTCTGGTCGTGCATTTTTCCATCTCCTGTTACATTTTGTTTCAGGTTTTGAGAGTCTTCTGTCCCTTGCCGTGTTGACTGACACTCACAGAGTTAGAGTACAGGCTGTCAGGATCCTTAGTCTGTGGTCAGGGTTTGATACCATGGAGATGAGACAGGCCACACCCTTCCACCCAGACACAGACCAAGGTGTGGTCAAGTCCAAGTTAGGAGAACTGTTAGGGGAGGACAAGTTTGACCCCCACAAGGCTGTTGACCTACAGCTGGTAAAGGACTAGACTATATTTTGAATTGGCATTAATACAGTGTAACAAAAATTATTTCAATGTATTGTGTGTAATACCTTGCAACCCTTCTAGTGTAGATAAATCAAGTTCTTAGAATAAACCAAGAAAAATGTGTACCGGGGGGTACATTGTTTTGAACTCTTCACCCACCTGGAAATTCAATAACATTAACAGAAATAGAAGCAGATCTTGAAACTTTTGGCAAAAAGTCTTTGAAATGTTGTTTCCAATACCAGGTTTATTTCTATTTCTTAAATAAACAGTTTTGGTATAGTCATCTTTACATTACCTGATAAATAGAAGGAATCCTGCGTTCATGGTCTATGTATACCTCGGCAGTTTTGTCAGAGTGATGAGGCTTTCCTCTGCACTCCTCTCTGTGGCTGTAGCCTGTAGGACCAGACATACATGTCCATGCCTTCAATGGCTATAAGACTTGAGACAATATCATTTTGTATTTGTTATACAGATGAGGGAGATGATCACCATTTTGACCCAGCCCTGTCACCAGTTAGGGGACATAGATCTTGACAACATGGTGGATGCTATCAGGTACAAGTTGTACTGTTAGGGTAGCAGAGTACAGTCCTAAAAATAAAGGGTATGTCTCAGATAAACATGGATAGCGGATTCATCCTGCACAACACACCTACATATATATATTTATTTATTAACTACATTTTGAATACATTTTTTAGAAGAATGATTTTTTTTTTCAAAAAGTAATTTCCCCAGATTTTGGACTTGTGAAAACCATGGTTACCACATCAAAAAATGCAAAATAACATGACTTTTAACCCAAAATTTGACCCACGCAAGTAGTATTTTTTTTCTTTAAACCTGTCTTAAATCGAATATCACCTGCTCGGTAACAGAAATACTCAAGTTTTAGTATAGATCGTTCACCTGGATTTTTCACAATATTTACACATGTGCTGAGTACAAAAATAGACTACATGAAAAGCTAGCTTTTGTTGTGTAGACACAGATTTGTAAATGCCCAAAAATGTAGTCTCAAACCTCAAAGCCCACATAGTCCACTTCATCATGTATATGCCAATTTTAGTGCTGATTTTTTTTTTGATACATACAATATTACAGGGGTTATTCATTTTACAAAAATATCACCCATGGCCATCGTACGCTACTGTACTCTGCTTCCTAGGAACGGTTTGACGGGATTTGATTTTCAACTTTTCAAATTACTCCAATCGTTGTAATTTCACTGTATTGTAAATGTGGTCTCAGTTTTAATTGTATTTTTTTTTAAATATGAAACTCACCAATTTTTCTTTCCTGCAAAATTTACATATCTTTTCATGCATTTGAAATTAACAAATAGATATATATAAAACAGACCAATTAATTACCAGTCTTCTTGCATAATATGTTTATCTGTAACTCCCATCTGCTGTCAAACATAGCATGAAGGCTGTTTAAGTCAAGTACTTCTGTCTTCCTTAGACAAGTTGCCAAGGTACAGCGGAGAGACCAGGATGTGAGTTTTGTGTGTCTGGAGCTCCTCGGACATGTTGCTAGGCGACTGGCCGATGAAGAGGAAGATGTCCTGCCAACCAAAACAAAGCTGGAGTGCCGGGATACCACTATAAGTCTGTTGTCAGCTTTCTGGTCAGTATACAATGTCAATCATCTTCAAAATTCAAGGGGTCCTCTCTTGATACATATATCTTCTCTATGTCCTTTAATTGGACATGTCATGACAAAATCAAGAGCATGCATTCTGTCCTGGTCTTAGTTTAAAATTTAGACGTGCCTCTCATTTCCTTGAAAATTTGAACACAAGCTGTTTTTCCTTTGTTGTTTTTTTAGCAAGATATTTAAAGATAAATTTTACAGTGCAATTTCTGTAAAAAAAAATCAATACATTGACTTCAAAAACAAATTAGATCTTTAAACAATTAGATATGGGAAATTGGAAATACATATACAGTCTATCTGGTCTACGCAAGATATCAAGTTGCAAGAATGAACTAGTGAGTGTGAAAATTGATATTGTAAGATATTTTGTAATGCTGAAAACTTTTCAAAAAATGAAATTCTGTAAGAAAAAATATCAAGAGCATGCGGCTAGCAGGATGTACATCAAAGGTTCTAATTAGTCCTCTTGTCCATTCACAAGGTGGCGCATACCGAGCCTTCTATTGTGTGTTTGTGTTTCATGTCCTATTAACAGCTACGATCATTTAAGGACATGCCAGGTTTTGGTGGTGGAGGAAAACAGGGGTACTAGGAGAAAACAACCAATCAGCCTTCAGTACCTAGCAACTGTCCAACGTAGCTACGAACCTGCGACCAAGTGTTGGAGGGCTGATGATTGTAGATTGTCAGACTCCTTAACCACTTGGCCACTGCAGCCCCAATATTTCATGGGTATAGAGAAGTGGATCGATGCAGAACCCTTGGATTTCAAAGATGAATGTCCCATGTCATATGAATATTTTCTGTTGTTGACAATCATCTTCTTTCAATATTGTCCTTACAATAGTATTTTGTGAGTGGTAGTACTAAAGTACATTAGTTTGTGAAACTCTAATCTCCTTCTACGTCCTCTAAATGACCTTTAGCTGTTGATAGGACACTGAACCCTATAAAACCAAACTAATCTCCTTCTACATTTACAAAAACACAAAGCTGAGGATAAGTTCAGTAAAAAGAAAGAGTGTAACGTGTGATTGATACAAAACATTGCTTACATGTCTTTGTTTTCATCTGTTTACAGGAAGTTACAGGATGACCAATATTGCTGTAAAGTAAGACTGGCAATCGCAAAGTGTATCATGCAGCTTCTACAGGTATTTAACTGTAAAAATTGTCAGTATAGGAAACTTTTGTCATTCTTTTAGATATTAATTAAATTTGTTTGTGTTCATTCGATCAGATAAATCTTAATTTTATATTAATATTCAGACAGAAGTTTAAAGACTAAAGATATTATGTACAGTGTGCAGTACGCATATCATGTTACAGGTCGATCCGGAGAAGCGGTGGGTTCACCTGAAGGCCACACCCAGTGATAATGAGGATACAGGTAACACACCTGTAGACGTGGAGTTCATGCAGTACCTATCTGACCCCGCCCACTCTGTGAGGATGTACGCCGCCCAGGGTATCATACAGTAAGTCCTTTACAGACTCGTCATCTATATCTGTAGTAAAGATATCTATAGGATTACAATATGACGTATTCCACATGAATACCAAGGATTTCAAGTCTGGTATTCTGAATAATAATCTGATGTCACATACTTCATGCCATTCCAATTCATTAGTATTGTTAATTATAGATGTCCAAGCTTAGAATGAGCCATTTGTTGCTTGTTAGTAAAAATTTGCAATTAAGATATTAACACTGACATCAGTCAAGAACAACCGAGAACTTTCCGAGGCTCTTGGATCTGATAAGAGGACCTGTTTTCTACATTTGGTAGATTTCATATTTTGTAAGACAGGACCTATATGTGAATTCATAACCATTGTTTTTCTATCAGGATGTTTATGGTGGGACAGGAGCGAATGGTTCCATGTGACAGGGTGCAGCAGGACAAGGCGTTCGATAAAATCTACGAGATTGTCAATGAAAGTTTGGACATTCAGGTAAATCAACAAAATCATCAATGAAAGTTTGGACCTTAAAGTACAGTTTAATACATGTCTTTAGTAAGTCCTGTTCATTATTTAACTAGATGAATAACCTTGACCAAGCCTCTTTTTTAAGGTCACCTGAGCTAATCGCTTTCCGTCCGTCCGTCGTGCGTAAACTTTTTACATTTTCAACTTCTTCTCAAGAACCAGTGGAATTCCTACCCCAACCCCAGGGGCCAGGGCAGGGCCCCAAAGGGAAAATTAACCAATATTTCAAAAGTACTACAGTCATTTTCTCTGCATGGAAAGAAAGATCATCAGGGGCTTTACTTAAATTGTAAATTTCAGGACCCCTGAGCTATTCGTTCTCCCTTTGGGAGGGGGTAAAGTTTACTATAGTTTATATAGGGAAATAACACTTTTGGGTATATTTTGACAACTTTCTGTAGGAAATTATTTTTGCTTGGTGAGAATTATGCTTGGAGGAAGATGGTTTCAAATTGTAAAATTGAGATTCCTACCCCAACCCCTGGGGGCCAGGGCGGGGCCCCAAAGGGAAAATTTACCAATATTTCAAAAATCTTCTTCTCCAGACTCAGAGGTACTACAGTCATTTTCTCTGCATGGAAAGAAAGATAATCAGGGGCTTTACTTAAATTGTAAATTTCAGGACCCCCAAGCTATTCGTTCTCCCTTGGGGAGGGGGTAAAGTTTACTATAGTTTATATAGGGAAATAACACTTTTGGGTATATTTTGACAACTTTCTGTAGGAAATTATTTTTACTTGGTGAGAATTATCCTTGGAGGTAGATGGTTTCAAATTGTAAAATTGAGATTCCTACCCCGACCCCTGGGGCCAGGGCGGGGCCCCAAAGGGAAAATTAACCAATATTTCCAAAATGTTCTCCAGACTCAGAGGTACTACATTCATTTTCTCTGCATGGGAAGAAAATCATCAGGGGCTTTATTTAAATTGTAAATTTCAGGACCCCCGAGCTATTCGTTCTCCCTTGGGGAGGGGGTTAAGTTTACTATAGTTTATATAGGGAAATAACACTTTTGGGTATATTTTATCCATTTTCAGCAAAAAATTGCTCAAACTTAGTCAGAATCATCTTTGGTGAATGAGAGTATTACTTTGTATTCCTGCCCCCTCCCCAGGGGCTAGGGCGGGGCCCCAAAGGGAACATTTACCAATATTTTCAAATTCTTATCCTTTGATGACATGACAAGTGTTGTATTTCACTTAATTTACATGCTGATTTCCACATCACATCTAAACAATAAAATAAAGCTACCAGTACCTATGATATAACTCAGGTGACCGCTTAGGCCCTTGGGCCTCTTGTCTTGATAGGTTTAGAGTGTTTTCATTGTTGTATTCGGGTAAAATTGAGATATTCTGAGCGGGTATTTTATATTGTGAAGAGTGTGTTTTAATGCTATATGATTGTATATCCATTGATGACCCTGTAATATTGTAAATCTATGCCTGACAGGGCCGGTTGACCCCCGAGCGGGCCCACGATGAGCGGGAGAACAGGACGGGGAGTGTACTAACAGCCCTCGGGAACATCATGTGTATCAGTCCTGTGTGTGAAAAGAAGGCATTGTTTGCTTTGTGTCAACTCATCAAGGAAAACGATGTGGAGATCACACAGATTCAGAATGTAGGTGTCTGTAAATGTGTAAAACTAGTGCCAAATACTGTACGATATGATGTAAAATAGGATTAATCCATTGTTACTTTTGTTAAGTCCTATTCTAATATTGATCCTATTCACTGAAATTGAAATCACTTTATTACTGGTGAAATTTTTAAGGTCACCTGAGTCTTTCTGGTGACCTTTAGTGATTGCCTTTTGTCCATCGTCCAATATGTGTAAACAATCACTTTTTCAATTTCTTGTCTGAAACAATCGTCTATCAGATTTTTATGTAACTTGTGATTTTTTTTTTATTAACATATATAGGTGACCCTTAAGGCCCATGGGCCTCTTGTTTTCTTTCTCAAATTATATTCTGAAGGATTTTATTGTCGAAAAGTTTCTTGAGGGCACTTTGTTGATATAGATAATCCAGAAGGTGTCGAAGATCCTCCAGTTTAAAGACGGTCATGCTTTCATGGCCGATCACCTACCATACCTCCTCCACCAGTGGTTGGGACTCGGCTACCCTGTCACAGAATTCCCACACCAGATGGCATTCTGTAACACCAAACAACAATTCTACAAGTACGCAAAATTCTTCACTTTATTTCGAATTGACATGTAGGTCTGGTAGTTCACTTAAATTTTCAGAATATTTTTTTCTCATTAATCCTTTTTAATAGTTCAATTTTTCCTTTTTTTCCCCCAAGGATTATTAAAGAATCTGGATTTTTACGTGCATCACAGTTTTGTGTTTAATTTGTTAAAAACTATATGTTTTAAAGTGTTTGAGATAAGCATTCTGGGTACTATAGTGGTCTGCCTCTGCTTTAACCTACAGGGACCATTACAAGGTTATCATACCAGAACTGATTATGAAAAAAAACATGGCCGATGCCAAAGAGATGGTGGTTGCTATGGGGAGTAAGTGGATGGAGACATTGACGGCGTGTATTCCTAACGTGGTGGTCCACATCTTGCCATTGTTTGCTGCGACCCGTCTTGGCGAGATGTCGGCGGATGAGACTGTGCGTCGGAGGACAGCCCATGCTACACTTTGTTATGACCTACTGTCAAAGGAGGCAACAAGAGAGGTCAATATTTAAAAAATATTGAAATAAATAAAGCAAATGTCAGAATCAGGATTAACATATAGAAATAAAGTGCCATGTGACCAAACAGTTTCATCAAGATAGGCACTATATAGATATATCTGAACCTAGAAAAAAACAATTTGACTGTGTTTGATGAATATTGGATAACAAATTAAATATCCTTTACGATCAATTGTTGGACATCACAGAACTTTATCTCATCCTGGCCAATCAGTCAGTCTATCTGAAAAATATGTGTGTAAGATTTCCGAACAAAAACACTTAATGGACTTTGACAAATGCATTGCATATAAAGTAAAGGATAGTGAAAATATTCTCATGTAAAAATTTAAGATTTTTCGTCCTCTTTTCTAGGTGTTAGAGATGACTATTGTAAGCAACCTTGATCAGATTGTCGTCAACATCCTCATGTGTTTATATGACACGGATACTGATGATTTCATACAGACTGGCATTATAAGGTAAGTTAACATAGCCTTCATACAGACTGGCATTATAAGGTAAGTTAACAGAGACTTCATACAGACTGGCATTATAAGGTAAGTAAACAGAGACTCCATACAGACTGGCATTATAAGATAAGTTAACAGAGACTTCATACAGACTGGCATTATAAGATAAGTTAACAGAGACTTCATACAGACTGGCGTTATAAGATAAGTTAACGGAGACTTCATACAGACTGGCATTATAAGATAAGTTAACAGAGACTTCATACAGACTGGCATTATAAGATAAGTTAACAGAGACTTCATACAGACTGGCATTATAAGGTAGGTTAACAGAGACTTCATACAGACCGGCATTATAAGGTAAGTTAACAGACTTCATACAGACTGGCATTATAAGGTAAGTTAACAGAGACTTCTTAAAGACTGGCATTATAAGGTAAGTTAACATAAACTTTATACACACCGGCATTATAAGGTAAGTTAAGAGAGACTTCATACAGACTGGCATTATAAGGTAAGTTAACAGATATTTCATACAGACTGGCATTATAAGGTAAGTTAACAGAGACTTCATACAGACAGGCATTATAAGGTAAGTTAACAGACTTCATACAGAACGGCATTATAAGGTAAGTTAACAGAGACTTCATACAGACCGGCATTATAAGGTAAGTAAACATAAACTTTATACAGACTGGCATTATAAGGTAGGTTAACATAAACTTTATACAGACCAGCATTTTAAGGTAAGTACTTGGAAAATACTGCATGTAAAACAAGATACCTATAATTTCCGAACAATAAAAAAAGCCCCAAAAAATGGACAGTTATACAGAAAAAAAATCTGATTTTTTTGTATTAATGTAAGCATTTAGCGTTGAAATGCATATTCTTAACATTTATTGTTGTATGAAACCTATTTGTTTTCCAAGATACTCTATTTATAAGCAACTGGGTTTCATGCAATTATAATTGTTAAGAATATACCTATCTGTCATTCATAGTATGACAATTTTATGTACTGGTAATGCCAAATGATTGCTTTTCACAACCACCTGGTAAATTCACCCTAAACTTTGTTGGTGACCTCAATCTTTGTTCTGTTCAGGGACATGGAGCCCGAGCCTAACCCACCCTGTTTCAACACCTACATGATTAAATCTACCCTGGACTACCTCACACAGAGCTTCTCCAGCAACAACAAGTCATTGGTCGACGTCCTGTCCCGCAAATATGTAAGTCTGACAGAGATAGCAGAAATCTAAATTACACTGTTGATGAGATCATAATGTCTCCCCCATTAGACAGAGAAATCCACACTTTGGGCAGGGAAAGATATCTTTGTTTTACCCTAGGTTAAATCGGGGGAATTCCCCTGTCTTAACAATTGAATGACAACTTGTCAACAATAGCAGATCGCGATAAATAACTCCAAGCAGCTGGAAATTTTGAAATAAATGTTTACTTTTTATGAAATTATCACTGTATTTGATGTTGGTGAAAAATGGTAATATTCCCCACTTTAGGAGAAAGAGAAAAAAATCTCAACCTTCGGGGTGAGATTTTTAAAAGTCTGGCACTCAGAAAAGCCTCAGGCTAGACATTTAGGTATCTTACCCCTTTGGCTGAGATTTGTCTTACCCCCAAGGTGAAGTAAGATTGTAGTAATCCCCATTTTTTAATGTATGTGGATTTCAGGAAGACAGTAAGGCAGGTTTATATTTCACAGTTTTTACTGTTAGTGGGATAGTTCAGTAAACAGTTCTCATTAAGATCATGTTTAATGAAAAAAATCCTGAGTCATATTTGTGTCCTCTGGTAGGAAATTGTCTCTGAAACAGCGCACTCTGTTGCAAATTTTGTCTATTGCAGGGTAATACTTTCAGTCTCCTAGGATTTATTATAACTGTATGTTTTAGTGTGTTACAGCTGAAATTATTTAAATATTAAACATTCATACCTGGAATACATTTATATTTCCATTTGTTGTGTCCGACGTTTTCTGTTCTTTAAGAGTCTGAAGTAAACGGATTGATCTGCCAATTGAATGTCTAAATTGAATGCCATATAGAAGAAAGCTTTTTGTTCAAATGCACAGCTTTTAAGTTTATACAAATCACCTCTACATAGACAGGGCTTTATCCCGGTCTTTTTTACTACCGGTATTGGGTAAATTCCCCTCAGAAATCGTGCTTAAATTTTCCCCTTTTTCAATGACAATTTTCCCCTTTTTAAATGCTTAATTTCCCCTTTAAACAAGAAATATTCCTTCTGTAATAAAATTTTCGGAAGACCTTGCTGCATACACCTGTTTTAGGAATTATAGGAATGTTTGTAATTGAAGAGGAATTTTCTTTTGGATGCAAAGTGTTCACATCTTGTAGGCTTGTACCCCCTTTATGAGAGGAGAACTTCCCGCCCCCCTCTCCTACTCTCCCCCTGGGTTAGCATTTGGCCCTCACTAAGGTGGCCTACGGCGGGGTTATTTTCCCCTAAAATGGAAAAATGGTAGTAGAAAATTTTCCCTGGATTAAGGCCGTATAGAAATTGAAACTCTAGTACATTATTGAAGGTCTGGATTATACAGGCTTCCAGGTTATTAAGGGTTAATTTTAGACAGGTTAAGTGGTATTTTGTGAGTTTAGTGACATTTTATTTGTACGCACAGGACCAGATACAGAAGATACTGTTAGAACTGGCTATGAAGCTGACCAAGGAACACAGACTTCACGACAAACGTCGCATCCTAATGATGTATCGCCTCTTCTGTAAACTCCTTTTTAAAGAGTTTGACAGCCAATTGGGAGGAAGCTGGGCTTTTATTATGAGAGAGGTCATGTACCGACTAATCTATATCCTCAAGGACATGGTGTCTGTCAACAGGTAATGTCAAGGTCATGTATCTGCTAATCTGCATATCTAAAAGGACATGGTGTCTGTCAACAGTTAGCTCAAGGTCATGTATCAGCTAATCCATATCTTTAAGGACATGGTGTCTGTCAACAGGTAGGCTCAAGGTCATGTATCTGCTAATCCGCATATCTTTAAGGACATGGTGTCTGTCAACAGGTAAGCTCAAGGTCATGTATCAACTAATCCATATCTTTAAGGACATGGTGTCTATCAACAGGTAGGCTCAAGGTCATGTATCAACTGATCCATATCTTTAAGGACATGGTGTCTGTCAACAGATAGGCTCAAGGTCATGTATCAACTAATCTGCATATCTTTAAGGACATGGTGTCTGTCAACAGGTAGCTTCAAGGTCATGTATCAGCTAATCCATACCTACAAGGATACAGTATCTGTCAACAGGGTAGGCTCAAGGTCATGTATCAGCTAATCCATATCTTTAAGCACATGGTATCTGCCAACAGGTAAGGTCAAGGTTATGTATCCACTTATCTATACCATGAAGGACATATTGTCTGTCAACAGGTAGGGTAAAGGTAAATATAAAAGCTAATCTATACCCTCACGGACATGGGGTCTGTCAACAAGTAGTTCAAGGTCATGTACCGACTAGTCTATATCCTCAAAGACATCGTGTCTGTCAACGGTAAAGCCAAGGTCATGTACCACCTTATCATTTAATACAAAGGTCAAACGGAAACTTTCACTATTAACATATGACCTTACCTTGCATAGTCTATGTATAACTTAATGTTTAGAATTAATATCTGAATTTCTTTATGTTATGTTGATGGTTTTACAGTCAGGTGACTGAGGAAGCAGCCTACCGGGAGAACATTGCTTGTATGGCCCTGGAGCTGCTGAGGGACATGTGTACAACCTGTATGGAGATGGTCTCAGGTAAGAGTCACTACAGGGAGAACATTGCCTGTATGGCCCTGGAGCTGCTGAGGGACATGTGTACAACCTGTATGGAGATCTGCTCTCAGGTAAGAGTCACCACATAAATTCATTTGACAAAACCATACTTCATTTTCATAGAAATTTTATGTGACATGATGGAGCAATACTTCGATTTTCACGAGAATTTTATGTGACAAGAGCCATACATCATTTTCGTAGAAATTTTACCTTAGCAAAATATTGCAGATAGACTTTACACACAAAGAAAATTTGAGATTTATTTTGTAATTCACAGGAATTTGAGAAGTACCTGACGTTTTTTGTGAGCAGCCTGGTTCCTGTTGCTGGGAGCTCTGGGGTTGTTGGAGAAGAGGTAAGTATTTCTCACATTCTCCAGTCTGTTTCACACTGGTTGGCTCACTACCATTGCATTTCAGGTTTTAGTCGAGATGTTAATGAGGATATTTATTTGGTGAGAGGTCACTATTTAAAAAATAGCAATCAAATTACAATGGTCAGTTCATTACTTTTGTCTTCCACTGACCTTTTGCTTAGGTAAGGTAAATATGACTTGTACTTAGAGTTTGAGAGTTCTTGTCAGTCATCCTATATTGTTCATTTTTTTATATCGATAAAATTTCAAATGCCTAGGATTTTGCCTCCAGTCCTTTTTCAGCCTAAAACTCCTTTCACCCATAACCTTCATTAGATCACCCAGGATTTCAAATGTGCAGTATACTGTACATTTCTATGTATGTCAGCTTAAGACTAATGGCCCTCTTTCATTTTTACAAATTTGACAAAAACTCTAGGCTGCTGGCTTACTTCGTCTGGTGATCTTGGACAATTATGCCATACTGAAGCAGGGGATTGTGTCCCTGGACCCCTTCCCCAACACAGAGGTGTTCTCCCAACTACTCCATACCTACAACAGACTCAAGTTCGCCGGGGGCACCTTCTCACTCAAACAGGTAAGTCTGTCACTGGGATACTCAAACTGATTGGATGATTGGATACATTTTAGTTCATCTGTCCGTAAGTCAAAGTTTTTTTTTGATCAGGTGTTGTTTATCATGTCCCCGCCATTATATGACAGGGTATATAGTGTTATCTATGTCCCTCCCCCACCCCCATTCCACCCATATGACACAGTCTATAGTGTTATCTATACCCCATTCCACCCATTATATGATACAGTCTATAGTGTTATCTACAATGTATGTCCTCCTCCCCCCTCCCCCCTCCTCCCCC